GCTGAGAGGGTGCCGTGGGAACTCACACCTGGAGGAGGAAGGGGAAAGCATCCCATGAGAGGAAGGCAAATGCCAGAACCCCGCCCGGGAGCACACCAGGGGAGGACAGCCAGGGAGGGCCGGGAGGCTCTGTGATGGCCTCTGGGCCACGGTGACCACTTGGACCTTTGCTCTGAGTGACATGGAGGCCACAGGAGGGTCCCTGGTGGAGAAGGGATATGAACAGACTTAGGTCTTGCCAGGATCCCTCCAGCCGCTCGTGGAGAACGGCTTGAAGGAGCAAGGAAGAAGCTTGTTCAGAGGACAAGATCATTGAGCGAGATCATCCAGGGGAGGGGTGCTGGCAACACGGAGGTCGGGGAGCCCAGACTCAGGGTATCTTTTGAAAGCAGAGCTGGCAGTTATAGTCAAGCCCCGCCTGTGGGCAGAACCTGAGGCTCTGTAAAAATGGCCGCGCGTGATGCAACTGAGAAAACTGCCCTCCGTAAGGACAAGGACCGGGACTCCATCTCCGGACCAGCCGAGGTTCCAGCTCCCTGGGAGAGGTCAGTCCTCTCGGCTGCTGGCACCGCAGGAACGAAGAACAGCTCGTCTCCCGAGCTCTCACGAGATTTCTGCCTACCCCAGTGCCCACCTCTGCCTGGTGTGCACGGGCCTGGGGCTGGCGTTGTTTGCTGCTCAGCGTGTCAGAGCTCTCAGCTGGGCACGCGGGTCGGCGTTTTCATGCTGTGTGTTAAAAGCCTTCCCGACCCAAAGAAACCCATTTGACAACAGTCACATGGCCATCACGTAGACAAATCACTAGTTTCAGGCATTTGGCTCTTGGAGGGCTGGTAATTTCAGCTTCTTTTCTTGCCGTAGCCCACGGAACACTTGCTTCCACGAGGCCTTTCACTGTGATTCCATTGGGCTCTGGGTTCCAACACACAGGCAAACCGTGAGCCTGGGAATGCCATCCACCCCACGGGCCAGCCGGCCGCCGCCCAAGAATACGCCCTGGCTCCAGCTGCACCTCTGTTTGCCTCTGGGTGTGTCGAGCAAACGTTACTTACCCTTGATACCTAAGATGTAATCCTTTCTCGCTGCCACTCAACCTGGAATTATTTCTGCCCACGTGTGGCCTCTGGTGTGTAATGACTAGTGTACGTGTGTGGCCCTTCAACGCAAAACTCTGAGCGTGCTGTTCCTGGTGGAGCTGAGCCATGGATGGGAGCTGTTGTGGGAAGCTGTAACCCGACTTCATTTCTCCAATTGTGTTTCCAGGACAGCAGAGCCGGCGATGGGAGCTGGGTGAGGGAAGGGAAAGAGGGTTGTGGTAGAACTTGAGTTCCTGCTTGCCAGCCGTGTCCAGGTCAGCTCTGGGCAGGACAGCTTCTGAGCCTCAGCTCTGTCCCGGCCAGAGGAGCCCACAGCCAAGTCAGGAAACCAGGAGCCGTCTTCTCCCTCCACAGTGTCCTTTAGCCCCGTGCCTGTCTGGTTGATGTTGCTCTCAAACCGGGCCCTTCTTCCTACGTCCCCACCAGGCTGGGCCAAGCCACCTGGACTCTGGCGTCATGTCCTCTGGTCTGTGTCAGCCTCGTCCTTCTGTTCCTCCCCCACCCCTTCAGCGCATCCAGACGGAGTGTTTCAAGGACACAGAGAAGACTGTTTCACCTCCTCCCCTCTTCATCGGCCTCCCTGTGGCCCTGGGAGGAGGTCACATGCCTCCTCAGGCCTAGGTGGGGTTCAGCTTCCTGACTGGATTGCCTGTGCACCCCCAGTTCTCACCCTCCTGATCAACCCCCCTGGTCTTCCTGTGCCCCTTTATCCTCGCTGCTTTCTGGTCCAGGGTCTCCCCTCTCACACCGTCACCCCTCGGTGTGGCCTGTCTCGCCGTAGGCCCTCCCTTGTGCACCTGCACGGCTGCCCCATTGGCCGTTGATATGAGTTTTGCATTGACTCACATCCTCTGCCCGAGATGGTTTTGCCTGTTTATTTTCTTTTCCTGAGATTGACCTAATGAT